CATTATTATTATTGAGAGGCAGCTGGGTGGAATCAGGCTCTCGTCAAAATAATCAAAGTGAAGAAACTTGCATTCTTCCGCAGGTTTGTAAATTTTTATCAAATTTTTGTTTTTTGGCTCAACACCTTTTATGCTCATTGAAGAACTCATTTCTGTGTGGATTTTTTCGAAAAGCCTTGATTAAAGGTACAAAAATGTAAATTTTCAGTTACCACGGACTTTTAAGTTAAGGAAATAACTCATCTTTGGCGGCCATTTTCTCACTAATTTTTCCTCTGAAAACAAGTGACTTCCACCTCTTTCTTTTGCAAATATCTGGACTTGTATTCAAGATAAATGTATATTTTTTCATTAAAAAAAAGTCAAGTGAACAAACTTTAAGATGATACCAATAATTCTACATGCCCAAAAATTGACGAGAGCATGATTCCACCACGCTGCCTCACAATTATTATTATTATTATTATTATTATTATTATTATTATTATTATTATTATTATTATTATTGTATTACTTTAATTATCATTATTATCCTTAACTTTACAAGCATAGGAGAGCATAATTTAATGGTTTAATCTAGGCCAAACCTGAGAAATGCGTCTAAAATAAAAACAACACAGACTTCTTGAACTAATGCAGTTTTAAAAAAGACAACAAAAAAAAAGCAAAGTTCTGCCCAAAAATATCCTGTAAGTCAGGGTGACTATTACTCATAGGTGAAATACTCACTCCCAAATCAACCTGAAGACAAATGTTCAAATTTTTTGTCAAGAATCAGCTTAGAAATGCATATGGGCCAGGAAGTCCATTAAAAAGTAAAAGGAAAAGAAAATCCCGAGCTTTTGGAAACAATAATAAATGTTCAAACACGTCTGTTGGAAGTTTTGAATAAGTGCTTGCAAAACTCAGAATCAAGTTTCCAGTTACAAATGTTCGCAATGAATGGTTTATATCCCTCTCGAAACTATAAGTTAAAGAGGCAGGCCGCACTGACCCTACCTTTCAAAATCAACCAAAGGTGAGTATGACATTACATCTAAGCAACAAAAAAAACCCAGAGACACCCGGCTTAGTATTCTCCAGATGTGGCAATTGAACCCATGTCCTTTGCATACAAGACCTAGAGCTGAACCACTACAACATAGATGATGGGAATTTAGTAAATCTTTTGAATGATGTCTCGTCTCACATGTTTCGGGTTAGGTTAAAAAGATTTTTTTTACACGCAAAATAAAGCTGCTCTGATGTCTACAGTGACCAAAATTGTGACATTTAAACATGCACCGCTCATCAGTTTTTGGTGTTGTTATACTTTCATAACATAACTTTTAAAGATAAACTTTACAATAATAACAGGTACAAAAAATGGCAGTGCAGATATTTTTCAATCAACTTGTAAATCAATGTATTTCGAATTGCATCAGGAATTAAATGATCTCTTGATTAGTATCAATACGTAACTTCTTTTCAAAGCCAAAACAAAGCTTCAAATAAATACACATAGACATCTAAACAAATGATTAAAGGAAAACCTACAAACTGCACTGTTCAACCCAGGAAACCAAATACAAATACTTATCGATTAAAGAATAAACACAGAGTGAGCAAACTGATATGTGATTAAACAAGATCTTAAAATTAAAATTCACATCTACGAGGCAATGGTTAAACATGAGCACGGAGAGGAATATAGGTTATGCTATGCACTCACAGAAAAGTATACGTTATCCAATATATTAATGAACTCAAACTTGAAAAAGTCAGAGATATTTATGTAAACTGTGTCAAACAATCGGCTACACGGGAAACAGCTGCAGTAATTGGGATTTAAGCATTTAAAAATCGAATTTGATGACACCGAAAGAGAAATGAAAAGTATATTGTGAACTTACTGGTCTGCCTTGAACCGTCGCTTCCAGAGCATCCACCAGGTCTGCTGTTATACCGATGAGATTGTGATAATCCGTCTGATGAAACAGAAAAGGATATGAATATACATGCAGGGCTATGATACAAGAGGCATAAAAAACCCCAAAAAGTCATTATATCAAGTCCCTTCGCCATGGACTTTAATACAAAAAATGAATAGTGAATGCTGATTGATACACTTGAAAAACTTATCATGATTAGTAAGTACCCGTAATGAAAGTCGGGGATACTCTTTACCAATCATCAAAGATTATACCAATAAAACCAGTGATTTATTTTTCAAACAAATTATAGACACCGAGGTCTCAAGTTAGAATTTGCTGGTGGATTGAAAGCATCAGTTGCTGTCCTACTTTTTTTTCTTGCTCTCTTTGGTTTTTGACTGTTAATCTTGTTTTTTCAACACTAAATAGTCTATAGCCCTTTTGTGACTCAGGTTGTTTTTACTGAGCCTAATTTTTGCTAGCCAAAACAGTGAGTAGCTTCAGTCATTTTGCTCTCCCTTTGAACATCAAAGATTTACCCGATTTGTATATTTTCTTTACCGCAGACTTAGAATATTTCTGTTTCTGTACTTTCCCAGTAAATTCCATTTAAAGCTGTTGCGGAACAGCTATAAAACCATGTATGGCGCTTTTTAGGGAGTACTTTGTACGGGAGAACAGCATCTTGGCTCACAATGTCTGAGGTACGGTGTATGGGAGCTGTCACAAAGAGATTAATAGTATAGACTGGCCTTTTTTTACTTTAAAAAAAGAGGGGGAGAGGACAAAACATCCACTGATGTAGAACAAAAAAAGCCCAAACACAGGAACATCTTCAGCAATTTTCTGCTTACTTATTCACAGAAGGTTGTTTTTTTGCATCTTGCTGAAAGACAAAGGCTTGGCCTTCCCAACAGGATTTATAACAATGCACCTTCTGTTGTTTTTTTTTTGTTTCTTGAACTATTCTTTACCACAATCCACGTTTTATGGTGAGCGCAACCCATGACGCTTTATAGCCGTGAGCTCACCATGGCACGGCAAACTCATAACTCTTCCACTCCAGAGTCTTCAAACTCACAAAAACCACTGTTTTATGTTTAGATCTTTTTTTTCTGCGCTTTGTCTGATAGAAAATTTATTTCCATTCCTGTTGATATAGAACACAACTGACTTTCCCTATCAAAAAAAGAAGAGAAATAATAAGGGTTTTTCATTACAGTGAGAATGGCCACAAAAATAGCCTCCAAAATGGATTGGTTCCAGTGAGAAGAATGGTCGAGCGAGGAAAGCATTAAGATTTTTTTTTAAAAACTTGCTCAAAACTGAAGACCACTATAAGATAATTACCTGCACTTTTGAGTGTCTCTTGACATAGGTGGACGCTTTCCTCTCCGCCTCTGCCACCTGTTGGTTCATGATTAGCAGCTGTTGCTTCAGATCTTAGAAAGGAGAAAAAGTTCTAGTCAGTAACAAAGTAAATGCAAAAATGTGCAAAACGACAGATTTTACACCCCTTGCAACACTGTACAGCTAGTTAATAATAACGACAACAATAATAATAATAATAATAATAACAATAATAAATGGCATTTATATAGCACTCAATCCCAACTAAACTACAAAGGCTCCCAGGGCTTTACAAGACAACAGTAACATATAAACAATACATTGCGTTCTGACCAAAAACCTACATCTTAGGGGCGGAACCTCCAAATTTAACTTCCCTCTCCAATATGACAGAGCCAAATGGGAAAATTTGTGTAAAGTGCCTTTCCCCAAGGACACATCGTAAGACCAAGCTCAGCTTCGACCCCTAAACCTCTAACCTTATAATTACAGGTCTGGTATCCTGACTACTAGACTATTGACGTCACCAAGTAAATGTAAATATCTACTCCAAGTGAAGTAAAGATAACCACTTTATTTCAGCCAGTGGTGGGAATTTAGTGTACTTTTGACACAGATAAGAATCACTTAAAAGTTTGTTGTTCGGTGAAAGTTTTACAGCGCTCACAACTGCATGAGATCATAATTATGAGCACACACACTCAAAGTTTGATGTTATTCATCACGGGAAGAGAAGAGTAAAAGTAATTGTAGATGTTTTAGTTTGTTAGTGTTTGAGCGCTTAATCAGCTGCCTGCACTGTATGCTTCCCGGGAAGCTGAGAATGCTTCTGAGTGTTCTATGGTCTGCTGGGGTAATAACAGAGTGTAAAATGCATTGAGCTTGCTGTAGAGCAGGGCAATGCGCTATACAAATGCTATGTATTATTAATATTATTATTATTATCATTATTATTATTTTATGCCTCAATTGACACAATTTAGATCAATTTAGGAGGGGGCCTGCTTTGACCCTTCTTGTCAATGCCAACCCGGCCTGAGAGGGGATACAACGTTCCTGCAGAAAGACAGAGATGCTCGAAAAAAAAAAATGTCTCAAATTGGGATTCAAACTCACTTCTTTTGCATGTGACAATGAAGCATTTGTACAGGAAAGTGGGAAGACATGGAATAACATCAAGAGGCTAGCCCAGGATAGAGAAAGGTGGAAAGTGTTTGTCCGTGGCCTTATACTCTGGTGCAGGGTGACAAAGGCAATGAAGATGATGAATGAAGCACTTAAGCCCTACATCACACACACAAGTATCAAGTGATGAAGTGTGAATTATTTTGTGCATCAATTTCGTAACAACAACCTAAATTTCCCAAAGGGCCAGCACAAAAGAAGTAGTTTGAGTAATGATGCAGTTTGTGAAATGTACACCATCACGGTACAGATGCGTGAGCAATACATATGATACAAGCAATATTCCTTAAGTCAGTGATATATAAATGAAGCCAAGCTTACAACCGAGAGGTTGTGGCATAAGAATGGTATCCCCACACCGACGGGGAGAAGCCCCCCCCCCCCCATACTACAGGGACAGTGAGTCGGTGAGCTATCTATATCCCATCACCCCAATAGGCTCCCAATCATAAAGCTGAAGTGAAATAGAAAATAACTCCCACCCCCTTCTTGTGACTAGTTTGTTATATAAGCTTCCAAAATTAATTTATCTTGGGGGGAAAAATTCCCGGAAAATGATCAAAAATTATTAATTTCAAGAGCATACTGTCATCCGAAATTAATGGGTCTTTTAAAGTATAAATACACATAATAAACTTACTTTTTCCTTCAGCGCCAGAACCTCTCTGATGCAAGGAGTTAAGGACAGAAGTAATACATTTTTGTTGTTACAATGTAGTTTAAAAAAATGTTTTATTCAAAAAAAATTTGAAAAATAAATGAAAAAATTTTCTAAATGTAAATTATCCAGTCTGGTAGAACTTTTTCATCGGAAAGAATTGTACATTTAGTGCCTGTGTAACTCCTAAAACAATCAGCACGAATGAAGAGGCCTCAGAAAGGGATTGTTCCATATTACTTTAAAGTGACCTCTGACCCCAAGGTAAACTTATATTAACCCAAGTCACCCTGCGTTGCGGCGGCAGTGCACTTGTGTCCACCTGGCTTGCCGGGAGCTGGGGGAAAAAATCGGTCTGAACTTGGCGCACTAACCTTAGGCACGCATTGTACCCAAACTATTAAAGGTATCAATATGAAATTTAGCTTAGAATTTACTTAAAATGTTCTTTTAATGTCATTAGAGAGAAAGATGAAGGAAAGAGCAGAGAAAACAATAAATTCTTCGTCCGACTGCGACTCATCGGCACTCGGTTTACTCATAGCAACTTATAGTAAATCTATGGTCTAGATCTTGCTTTTCTTCGAAGTTTTCAAGGCACTAAAATCAATCCAATCGCCATGTTTTTCTAGATTTACGTCTACTTTCACTTTCTTTGCCTAAAACAAAACTAAAAGCAAGGTTCATGTATTTTAACAAACACAAAAATAGCCATGGCACTGTTGTTTTTAGTGGCTGTTTTTTTTTTCTTCTCGTCCATGAAGATTTCAGAGCTCACTTTCTTACCATGATTTGCAGTGACAAAACAACAAAACTAACTCGTACTTGGCGAAGAACTCTATCAAAACAAGCTAGCAAAAGTTTTTACAAGCTACAAGCGACCTATTATTTTCAATAGAAACCTGGATAAGTGGTTCGGACTCGATTTTGTGAACTGGTGTTTTGTCGCTGCACGGAAGCGCGCGGCAGCTGCGAGTATACTCATAGCTCGGGAGCAATGGGTTAACTCACTTGTGACTACAGTTGCCCCACAGTACCGCACTAAGAGCCGAGCGTCATCAGATTAAAGCAGAAATGTCCAAAGTGGCATCATGAAATCAGCTGTAGCTTTTTTATGAACAACTTTTTCAAAAAGGGTCAAATTGAAAGTCAAACATGTGAAGTGGACCCAGGTTCAGCCGCATTCCAGTCTTTACCACACATTCATAGCTATCTGCCCATTCTGAATACCGCTTCACATTACTTCTATTGACAAAACCCCTAACTTCGGTCTATTTTAGCTGCTGGTACTTTAGTCTTCTTACATCTATCCCCATATCTTATCAGCAATGAGTTAAGGGACCTCTGATCTAGAGCATAATTTGCCCTCAAAACAAAACATTATAAGGAAAGGATACGTAAATCTCAAACAGCTTGGGCTGTGGTGTGGACTTGAGGGCAAGCGTGAGGAATTTTTCCACTCTTGTTTTCAGATCGGTGCTCCAAGATTCCTGTGCAGACAGACAGAAGGAAAATTGGTGAAAGAAAGGTTGGAAATGGCATTTCAAACTGCTTGACCTAGTGCACAACATCTGGGATCACAGTGGGGTTTTTGCTACGTCTTACCGGAGCAGGAAACATCGGGCTGTGATCACTAGAGTCCGTGAGGACATGGGGCGTTAAAACGTTTCATTCTTTAACTGAAAATATTAACTTCTTTCGTTTTTTAACCAAAATGTAGAAAATGCTGCAAAAACATTTTGTATTATCAGATAAAAAGTGGATCAAAACCATGCTTTGAGTACAGCTAAAGAGGGGGAAAAAAGTTAACTAAACAGGGAAGTACCATACCAACTCCTCCGCACTTACTAGATATTTTCCATAATTTTCTTGATAAACATACATTATGATGGCTCATATTGCTACATTATAAACATAATGGGGCATAAAAGCTAAAACAATCGCAATCTAAAAAAGATCACCAAATTACCAACCAACTGACTCATAATAATATTTCTATGTTGTAAATAGTTTTCACACAAAACATCACCAATATACATGTCTCGTATTGTGTCTGTGTGTGTGTGAGTGAGTGCATATGCTTGCATGCATGCGATTAAACCTGCAAGTGTATGCGTACAAATGTGTGTGAATGTGTTTTCCAGTGTGTATGTGAGTGAATGTGCTTGTGAGTGTTTAGGTGCGAGTGTGAGTGTGTGTATATATTTGTGTGTATGTGTGTGCATGTGTGTGTGTGTGTGTGTGTGTTCATAAGTGTGTGCGCGCATGTGTGTGTGTGTGCGTGCGTGCGTGTGTGTGTGCAAGTGTGAGTGTGTGTATATGTTTGTGTGTATGTGTGTGCATGCATGTGTGTGTGTGTGTGCATGTGTGTGTGTGTGCGAGTGTGTGCGTGTGTGCATATGTATTATATCCAGGTGTGTATGTGTCATGAAGGGTTCCTTACAGCAAACAGTTCCCGGTAAGATGGGTGCGTCTTCGGGTTTGGAACAAAAGGAAGTGCGTAAAAGGGCAAGAACTCTGTTGTTTGGCTCAGAGACGATCCTCTGTTCTCAATGAACTTCTTGAAGTTTCCCATCGCCTCCTCTGTGGCTGGCTGTAGAAAAAAAAACAAGAAAAAAAACCCCCACACGTCCATCTATTATATGCCACTGAAGAGTTGAAAAAAAAACCCAGTTGGTGTCATTTTCAAAGAGACAACATAGGCAAATTGAAAGGAAACTGAAACATTTAATAACCAAAGGCTTTTTGAGTTATAAGTCATGAATTTAAAAAAAAATCAATTTACCCACATTATAATTTCTCTGTTGTCTGGTTTTGCTTATTTAATTAAATATTTAGAACTAGTCCCCAAAGAGAATCTGTCGTGTAATGGTTATTATACGCTCTTCACTGTTTCCAGCAGAAAATGTTATGTTTGACTCCTGCGAAGGGAAAAGTTTAATTAAGTCTTCTATCTGTCTGTTGCGATTCTGTGTCCAGACCTGCGAACTCGTCCATGACTGTGTAGAGACTTAACAAGATAATTAGTTTGGGGTTTTTTAAAGTGATTATGCAATATCGAAGGTGTCATATATGAAATCAACAATTTTTCAGCTTTGAAAGGTCATATCTAAAAAAGTACAACAACAGCATCATTTTAACTTCCCAGGTAGGTTGCCTCAAGTAATGCAAAGGTATGCTGAAAGTCATGTATGTGTACCTAATATAGAAGTGAAAATATGAGACATACTAGGTACCAGAAACTAAATTTTCAAACTAGCTCTATGCCAAATTTATCTGTTTCATTTGAAAGGCCTATATCCACTGAGCATTTTGGTACCATTCTTTAACCTCTCTGTCAATTTTTAAGAAAATTGTAGTTGTTTAAAATTTGATCAAATTTGTTAAAGTCAGTCATTGGCTGCAACCCCATGTTTGACAGACAATAAAAGAGTACCAAGAGCACTAAACACCTCCACATTAACAGAGTACAATCACTATAACAAATATAGGGAGCCTAATTTTTTTCAAGGCTGTGAGATCATTACAAATCAGTATTTTATCGCCTCAAACACGATGATCTGTCGTTATTTCGACAAAAACACAGAGCGTTGACCCGGCCGGCGCCGCACCAGCCCCGCGGCGAGAGAGTCGGCTCTATACTGTAGTGTACCATGATGCGGGGTCACATGCTTTCTGAGTCTCGCGGAAAGATTGATAAAAAATAATTCCAAGTTAATTACTTTATTTTAATAGAAAATAAACTGATCTTTTAATTGATATTTTTTATAAGCCGGTATTTGACATATTTTGTGTAAAAAGTGATCTTTAAACATTTTGACGGTATTTTTAAAAGCTTTCTATTTAGACGCCAAAGGCAAAACACATATCATGAGAAAGCCCGTTTAAAGCTCTACAGTTCTCCGCCAATGAAAAGACGGTATTTAATCATCCCTCGTTCCGCGAAGCATTTGAATGCACCCGTGTCAATTTTTCAACCGGCCGACCACGCATTCCGATAGCGAGGGGCTTCGCTTTTGTCGGCGATTTTCCAGCTCCTAATAATCGGACATATAAACAACTTACACCATTGTAACGAAGAAAAGCTGAACTTTTATAAGGTGTACGGCATTTGGTGTTTTATAGCGAAAGAGCAAAGAAACAGCGATCGGAATTACCCCGATTTCACCGATACCACGCGGTCGGAAGGCCGCGAGTGCCCGCGAGGCCGTGTTTACGCTACCTACATATACTGAAGTGAGGGGTGCGCTTTCTTCCCATTTTTACGTTTCGAAGGGGACAAAAAAAGCGCTGAAATTACTGAAAATCGTTTCTCAGTGCTATATTTTCTTTCGTATCAGCTAACAGGAAGTCTATTCTACTATTTTGAAAACTTGGATCGGCCGAGAATTTCATTACTGGATTGGAATAGATAACGAACCACTCGAGCCGTATTTTGGGGCTCGCGGTAGGGAAAGTGTTAAGACATTTACAATAAGTTCAGCACCACTGATGGAAATAGAATTCAAGAAAAAAATTGGATTCATGCAAATTTGATAAGAGTTCTTACGTAGGCAAACAAAAAAACACCAAAAAAACAAAGTACTTGGCAGGTCTGTGTATCCCATTACCTATTCATTGCTCATCAGTCTAATGATTTTGCAGTCTTAGCCACAAAATACTCATTGTTTCACTGGCAGACATACCGGCGGTTGGCTGTACTTGACAGGATATATAGCGAAGTAAATGTTCACATAAAACTCCAGTTTTTGCGCTACGCTGTCTGAATCTCTGACGCTTGTGGGCAGGTACTCATTCCACAGCTTGAGAAAAAGATCACCTTTGCCTTCATGGTAGAACTCCATCATTTGATTCTGAAAGAGATACATGGGTCAAGGTTGAGACTAGCTAAATAACAGTTGACACATATACATATGTGGGTGTTTGGAGCCACAGGTAGGTCCTACTTTTTTTCTTTCCCTCTGTAGTATCTGTCATTTTTATCTAGGACTAAATGACTGTTCTGCTAGGCAGTCCCCAGCTTTGAGAAGAATAAAGCTGATGTGGAGGTAGTGTTTTGTAAGAAGTGGCAGAATAGCAACACAGGTAGTGTCTCCAAAAATAGAAACACCTGATCCTTCAGGTCAGGGATTAAGCGCAGCACAAGCACTTCTACCCCATTTAACAAATCTATCACTACAGAAACATCAAGAAAAGGAATCAAACAGTCACTAATCTTGGGAGACAACAATACCCCTAGTGGAGATAACACTCAGGAGGCCAGCCCACAATGTGATATGACAAAGCCTTAGATGGAACCTCAGGAAAAAAGAAAGAGAGGAAGGCCGAGATCCACTTGGAAACGAAATAGCAAATCTCAAGCATATGGGACACAGCTGGCTGGAGTTTGAGAAGATCGCCCAGAACAGAGACAAGTCCATTTGGTTCTCTTTACTTGGACAAACATGCTTACACAGTACATGAGATATTTACTTTGGTGTATAGTCTCTGCATTTATTCATCCTTCTTCTTTTCCGCTACCTCCGAGCTGAACATTCTACCTTTGAAATGACATGTTTGTATCTAGTATGGCATTAGAATAAAACAAAAAATTGTAACAATTCAGTTTAGCTTTATCAGGTACACTTCAAAGAGTTAAATGGAATATTAAACCAAAAAACCTGATTCACCAAAACAAATGTGATGCCCAAAAATTGACTTGGGGGGAAAGGGAGGGGTGGAGAGGGTGTAAGGAGGCAAGAGGAGCCTTATCTTCTCAACACCTCATATTTTAAATACATTTTAAAGCTTTTCAGTTTCGACTTACCAAATCTTGAAAAACAATCCTCTTTTTCGTTTGTCATAGGTATCCAAATTTAATCAATTTTGTTATATAAAGCAGTCCAAGTAAAAAAAGATTGAAATTTCGAATTTGAAGATAACAAATAAGAGACTGTTCACAAATGACGTCAGCTCAGAGGGGGGAGGGGGAGGGGAAATTTGACGAAAGTTGACATGGAGGGGAGGGCGGGTTCCTTACAAAGTTGACGTCAACCATGACGCTCTAAAAGGTTGGAGAAAAAAAAAGAAAAGGAAAGAAAGGAAGAAAATATGTGATAGAGTACATTTTATTGGTCTAAAAACTAAAAACTAAAATTAAGAGTTATCTCCCTATAGCACAGACTGCTAGAGGCTAGATTAAAACAGGTTCTATTTAAATGTACATGTACATTTTGGTTAAGGTCAACTAGGGGAAGAGGAGGGGTGGGGGTGGGGGTCCTGGGAAAGATGACAAAAGATGACGGAGGGGGGTAATTTTTGGCCAAATTTTAGCCGACATCATTAGGGAACGGCCCCTAATATAAATATGGAAAGCATGAAAGTGTGATTGTAAAGTAGTAATTTACCTGAACAAGCATGAGCTTTTCATTGCCAAAAGCTGGAGTCTCCTGGGGTGCGATGGGCTTGTCTTTTGCATTACATTCTTCCATAAAAGTTGACAAAGTTCTGTCAAAGCCACTGAAGTCTAAATACTGATAAAGCAAAAGGATGTCAAATTTTTAGTGTTGTTCTAAACTGAACAAGGTACATTTCAAAAGCAGAAATTTGAGAAAGGAAAAAGACAGGAAAAGAGATCAAGTCTTTTTAAAAGTCCTTTTTTTAATCTAATGAATTTTTCTACTTCAGCTGATACCAACATTGTGTATTTTTAAGTAACATATATTTTACAAAGCAAACTGAGAAAACTGAAAGTCAAATTATACGAACAAGACATTATAATTTTCCAATATCATTTGACAAAACAATGGCAAATTTTGACAGCCATCATGACAATTGATCTTGTCTTTACCTTATTTATTTTAAAGAGAATCATGTTCAATTTTGCTCACCGTAGTCCATATATAGCAATAAAAATGCTTAGGAGAAATAGGCCAGCATCTGTATTTACTTGTTCAAACCACTCACCTACAGAATAGTATACTAAACAAAGTCACGTTAAGCAATATTTAAAATACAGGAAACAACACATCTCAAGGACAATGGAATAGAATGTGGCAGAGAAGCAGCATCTGCTATGAGTATGACAACAGACCTCCATCCTTCAAATGTGCAGTACAGAACATTTGCTTCACAGGTAGTCAATATTTGGCTCTGTAGACAGTATATGCCCCCCCCCCCCCCCTCATCTTAGGTCTTTTTTTCCACTCATTCTCCTATCATATTTCAGGTTCAATTTATACTGGGAGGCAAAACAAAACAAACAAAAACAGAATGCAAATTTGGCTGCTAATGAGCACTGAGGGACGGAAACCAACCTCTTTGACGATGGCATTCAACTCCCCCTCAAACGCCACCACAGAGACGCTACCAGACATTTTGGACGTTCTTCCTGCCAGTTTTGAATTGTGATTGGCTTTTCTGAAACAGACGGATTGAATTTGAAAATAACTTTAGCTCACAAAATTTAATTCTTCTTTTGTCTCTCGTCAAAGAAAAAGTCATTGTTTCCTTCAAATTTGAAGTTACTTATGAAGTAAAACAGACCAAAAAAACAACTTGAAAAAGTATATAAATATAAATTCTACACATATCATTTCAACAGACTCTTGAGAAAAAGTTGACTGGCAGTAAAAGAGTCAAGGTTAGAATATAATTGAAATTGACCCATACTGTAGCATGAGTAAGGAAGATTTTGCATCTCAATATCTTAGTATCTGCTACTGCAAGTACATAAAGTCTATTAAAAACAGAGATAACATCTTCGTTGCCCATTTCCAATTCATGATGAACTGAAGTTTACAATAATGGACTGGCATCTGCGGTACAGTGGTTAGATGCTTCCTATTTGTACACAAAGGATGTGAATCTGATTCCTGTGTGGTAATCGAGTATCTCCGTTTGCTGGACTTTGTATCCCTCTCAGTCTGGAATGGATCTGACAGGCGTGAGGATCAAAGCAGCCTTTCTCTTAATTAATCCAAACCGTACCAGTGGGAGCACAGAACTCTACAAATATATGCAGTCAAACCTGACAAAGTGTAAATCTGTCCAAGACGGAAACCTGTCATTACGGAATCTCCCTGCTCACTCTTTGATAAATTCTTCTATAATAACTTCTATGAAATGGAAACCTGCGCAACCTGAAAACAATAAAATAAGGAAGAGGCTAGCCTTACTTAATGACGGCTTGACTGGCCGTACTTAAGCCTCGTCCTGCGGGGGCCGGGTTTATGTCGCCCGATAAGCCTATTTCGGCATCTCGCCTTCGTTCCGGTCCCACGTCAGTCCCGCCTCTGGCTCTGAGCACGCGCACGGAGAATCAGCCCCGCTCCGTTCAGGTCCCGCGTCGGACCCGCATTCACATAGCTCAGGTGTGTTTGCGTTAGTCTGCATGAGTTTGTGTGCGTGTAAGGCCTACTTCTAGAACCGCCTGCGTTGGTTCATAAACAATGCTTACGTCTCATTCAGAACACGCCGAGTTGGTAGCTCTAGATGTTCATCCAATGAAATTAGAACAAATCGACCCACTTAGATATGAGGAGCTCGAACAGATAGTCAGGAAACAAGACTTCCATTTTTCTTTACAAAATCTGTCAAAAGAGCTTGATTTTGTATGAAAAGATACTAAGCTTGTTTGACAGTTTTGAATACCATTGTGCAGGTAAAAAGAACAATTTGAGTGCAAAACTTTCGGAAATTGACCTATATTATCCCCTTTCAAACCCCAGATCATTCATAACAACAAGAGCGTCTAGAAAGGTTATTCGAATGGGCGTAACTACAGTCAAACCTGCCCTGACGGCCACCTCTATAAGATGGCCACCTGCACAAACGACCACTTTCCATTTCCCCCTTGCGTTTTTTCTATATAATTTAAATGTGTAAAACAGGCACCTGTCTAACGCGGCCGTGGCCACCATATTTTAACTCACAACCCCTGTCACACTAAGCAATAATACCTGTCTTAGACGGCCACCTAGTGACTACATTACGTTTTGTCATAAATTGTGCATTGGCCCCTGGCGTTGTGGGCGAGCCGTCATAATTCAATCACCTGTCGTTGTTGTTAGATAGTCCCTCCAACCGATCATGTTGCGTAGGCCCCTCCCACTGTTGACCAATAGCTACTAATTTTCAGCTGTTGGTGAGGTAAGCGTGTGATCCCTCATAACCCGTAAGCCCCGCCCAGAATTCTTACACTAATCGCAAGTGAGATGAGTGGTCACTGTTTACCCTGTCTGTAACAAAGTAACAAAGGACGTCAACATGAACTTGTGACAGAAGCGTCGCTCGTTCTCCAAGTGGTGGCGACCCATGTGTTTGTTTTAACATGGCACTCGGTCTTCCTCGTCCGATACATTTCGTTTTATTGTCACCCTTGTGCAAAATCAGCAACAAATAAAAATTACAAACAAAATACAAACCACCACCACCAACAACAACAAAAACAACAACAATGCGGCTACTTTCGATTGGGACCTCAGATGGGAATGGTTTGTTTTCTTCATCTTGATCAGTCCTGCCTAAGACGGCCACCTGTCTTATACGGCCACTTTTCTCCTTGACAATGGGTGGCCGTCTGACACAGGTTTGACTGTACTTGTAATGTCTTATCAGCTTATGAGAGGGGGTTATTCGCGTGTTCGTAACACTTTATAAATAGAAAGCTATAAAAAAGATAGAGCATTATTTTCATCATCGATTAACACACTCCAACGGTATTTATGGCGAAAACACACGTTTCCAGGCGCGCGCGCTGTACACCAACAGTACACACTGAGTGACCCCGGCAGCCTGCCCAGAACGTCCGACATAATCGGTTGCTGATAAGATTCACATCTCAGCACAGACGCAGGTCAAGAGTTAATAATGATGGCTAGACTTACAAACAGCAGAAAATAGGCCTCTGAATTGTAAATAAATTTTTAGTTTGCAATACTTAAGTACTTATATTTAAGACAAAACCAAAAGGTGCCTTACTGACAGTGCATGTATTTTAAACCTGAATAGACTTGTGTACTTATCGACAGGTTTCTAATAGGTAAATAGGGTCTAAAATAAGTACAGCTAGACTGGCAGGCTAGCCGTACTTAAAAATGATGACTGACTTGCAAATAAAATTTTAGTTTTAAATACCTAAAATAGGGCCTATACAGTATTTCCGACAAAACCAAAAGGTGTCTTACTGACATGCCATGCATGTATTTTAAACCTGAATGATTACTAGATCTAATGAGACCTGTGTACTCAACAGGTATCGGTCAATTGGGCCTAACCTAGATCTATGTACAGCTGGACTGGCTGGCTAGCCGCCGCCGGCCCTTCGGTAAAATAAAGAGAAATTCCTTACTTTCAGAGGACCTAGACTTGTCCTAAATGCTTTCCCAGCTCAACCCTGATTTGAGTAGCAATGCCAATGAAAATTTAATTTTTCGCTTCAGCCCTTTTTTATTTGGTACCTAAGAAAGAATTTTCAACTCTAAGAATCATGCTTCTTGAATTATAAGAATCGGTTCATAAATAAAAAAGTTATGGAGTTGTAAAGGTCGGCAAAATATGGATGACCCACATATAGGAAAATACTCCAAAACAGTGGACCATGCAGTAGCAGATTTTGTAAAAAAAATAGACGATATCTCTGTAACTAATTGGAGTGTTAGAGAGAAACTTGGCTACCCGATGTGTTTATGCGTGGAGAAATCATTTCTGCCGTCAGATTCACTAACCATTTCGTAGTTATTTTGTTATAATTAAAATTTTGGCGTACATATTTCGATTTTGCGAAAAAGGGGTGTCGGGATGAGTCCATTTTATTTATACGATCGTATCACAACACGGGATCTTTAAGAATATATGTTGGCGGCGTGACTAAATAATGGCAAAGCTTTCTTTGATGACTTTAGACCATGCCAACCTTAAAAGATAAGTTAATTCAATCTAGCATGCCGTACAATTAAAAATTCTTGTTCCCCGATCAGACGCGAAAACTCCGAGGCGAGACAAGCTCGCCTCGGAATACCCCCATTGCGATGTTACAGGGGAATACAGAGAAAAACAATTGGATGCCAGCGCCCACCATTGCGATATTTCAAATGACCAATGAAAGGGCTCGGAATAGTCATGCGGGGACTTGTAGGTCACATACATTTGCCGCGAGAGTGAGGGGAAAATGACTGGTCTCCGTGCGAAGCCGCTTTGGATAGGGGGGTAGTCATGCATTTACGATCTGGTCTAAACAACTACTGGACACGGAACGTTCAAATTTGACCACACAAAAGAGTATAGATAGAGATCTATTACCATCTTGGCGTTGAAATTCAAGCTCCTTATAGTTTTTGGTACACCGGATACGAAAGTGTTCCCAACACCAAAAGAGTAGGTTAATTTATGTGTTCAAACTTCAACGCCCACATATCATTAGTTTGCCCTATTTTCTGATTGGTTGCAGAGTTTCATTCACATTGGTTCAGAAATAGAGCAGACCGAGGTTGAGAAAGTTAGTCACGTACGCTACGACCCTGTCCAAAAATTCACCCACAAACGGGGACAAAATTTTCGCCCCGCGGGAAAGCTCGATCGGCATTGCTAATTTGAGAGAAAACTCCCATGTTTGGAAATTCTATACACAAAACCTCGGCGGCCGACTGGAATGTCAGCAGTAAAGTAAGAAGTTACTGATAGACTCGCATATCGGCAGACGCAGAACGGGAGTTAATTTTGAGGATTGTTACTCCTACCCCCTGTCTAGACCTAGGGTTTAGGGCTCATATAGGGCGTAGAACTTGATTCTAGATCTAGATCTAGATCTAGATCTACATGAGGAAAACAGATTAGTTTAACTCATTCGCTACGCCGAGCCGTAGGGGGCGGCGCGGCTAAAGTGCCGTCAGTACGCTAAGCCGCCCCCGGCGGCTCCAGAACCGATTTTCAATTTTAGCTTAGATTCTATTCCAATCCACATATCCATGTTAAAATAAAGGTCATAATATAATGTTGACTTCCGGGTCAAGCATTTCCACTGAAAATCGGAAATTTAGATTCAGCTTTGAAACGCGATTTCGTAGTTTATTCGACTTTGTTTTATCGTGATGCCGAAATTATAGCCCGGACGCCAGTCATAGTTATTTTACACAACAAAATCTATCATTATTTTGCTCACTAAAGAAATATAGGACTCTTTCTTATAATATTGATACGATTGGACTCATATTGCCTATGCACTGCTATTGAGAAATCAATATTTTTTATTTAGATCTAGGTCTAGATCTAGATCTAAATTGTCAAAATATTTTTTTCTCCCCAAAATCACTATTTTTTAAATGAAACTACACAAAAAATGCCACTCAAGACATGTATGGGTTTATTGCAAATGCAATTCTAAATAATTTCATATAAGATATGAGTGGGTTTTTTCTGTTTGTGATCGTTTTTCAAGATTATAAGAATTTTTTTTTTTTCAATATCGGATGTTATTGTTCAAAATTTAAAAATATTATGGAAAGTAGGTAAATAACTGCAAACTTTTCAATATTTTCCAACTCTATATTCATCTATGGTTATTTTGAAGTATCATTTGACTAGGTGCAAACATATTTTTTGAGTTTCACCAAAGATTATTAATTTTTTTTTTCCAATTTTATCCGCATCCTATCAAAACTGTGTTGCATAATCGTCTCTTACAGGAGCCAAAGTTGAAAAATACATAAATAAACATTACATATGTATTCTACAAACCATACTGAAAATATTGGTATAAAACATGTTGATATTTATTTGAATTTGTGGCCCCAAAGACCTTTTAACTGCCCACTAATCATCATCTCATTCGACCTCCCGAAAAAAAATTCGTCCACAAGCCGAAAATAATACGTAGCGAATGAGTAAAAATAATTCTTTACCAGACACTGCACTGCTTCAAATTCTTTAATTTTACCCGCTTAATTTTAGGCTATCGTTATTCTCACCCGCTGTGAAAATAAAAATATGATGTTATTCTCACCCGGGGTGAGAATGATATCCATTTTATTCTCACCCGGGGTGAGAATAATATTATATTGTTATTCTCACCCCGGGTGAGAATAAAATTAATATTATTCTCACCCGGTCTGAGAATGGAATAGATTTTTAGGTCTACCTGGGTGTTGAGAACGGATGATAGAAAATAATATGTGAATTGTAAGAGAGTGACCGTTCATGACCTGCCCCAGAGCACTGGCCGATTTTTCTAGAGGCTCACGCGGGGATTGTTATTGTCTTATTTTTTTTAAATCCTGAGTTAAGAGTATGCACGCATGTTTTCACCAAAACCCTAGACAAGTGTAACTATATTATTCTAAATTCAGAAAGGAATTCACTTGCCAGAGTAGTATGTTTTTAAAAATAATAGTCTTAACTGAAAGCTGTTTAATGAAATAATAGTAATAGTTTGTCATTTGTAATGTTAGAATTGGCATTTTCATTTGTTTACAACACAAAAAACATGTTTAATTGTTATCCCTAGTAGAACCCACAATTATTTTTAAGGATCGCAGTGCCTTGACCCTAGGCTTATTTTTTTCTTACTTTTGATTGGTTAAACCATTCAAGAGTAAAATTTTCCATTACATTACAGAACCAATAAATTATTACTGTAGTTAGCAACAAAAGGTGACGCCATTTGGTCAAAAGATAAGGTTTTTCCCCAAATCGACAATAGTCGCCTCCTGCGCCCGAGAGCTGGCCCGCCCGTTCAACAAAGAGCAGCGAATGGTTTGTGGTGGTAACTAGACACCTTATAAACTGAATAAAAATGCGAAACGAATCCTGCGGGTACAATTACAGAACCAAAAGCTTATTTCCCATGACACATTGCACATCTGCAAGCCGTAATGGCTGAACGAGGTTCTTACCTTTGGAGATGAAATGGATTATTTCTGCTCACACAGGTGTCTGATTCTGCTCAAAATTGTTGAACTTGTAAACAAAACAATATTGAACGGAATTGTATAGCAGACATCATTCCAGGTTATCATATAATTGTCTGGTTGTCCAATTTTGGGCCGAATGCGTGCTTAGTGCCGGTCTGACTTACGTGTCGGTATGCCGTACATGACATAGGCTCTAGATCTAGATCTAGTTTAATTTATTAACTCACTTCAGACGGTTCATACAACAGTTGCGTGACCCCCGCCGCGACGCTCGCGACGGCTCCCACAAGCCCTGCGTGACCAACTTTGGAATTTTTTTTCCGCTGTACAAATCACGCACGGATCGTTTCGTTTATCTGGGGCCGGTACTTATTAAGTTATTGAAGGTGAAGGACAGTGACCCCAACTGGGGTTGAACTGACCGGAACTCACGCTTTGTACAGGGGCGCTAGTTATGATCCTGGATATGTACCCGAACACGGCCCGAGTCGTAGTTCTAGGGCTAGATCTAGCACTAGTCCTACTGGTGTTGTTGTTCGCGCAACGAAATCACAACGTCGTGCCGTATCTGTCTCATCCTGTCATACCATGTATTAGGGCTGTACCCCGGTAGCAAACCCGCTCGTGCTCACAAGCCCCTAGTTCAAGTCACAAGCCTCAAATCAGTAGGTCAAATCATCAAATCAAATCACCAGCATGATAAGTTGAGTCTAGCGCAAACTGTAACCTCCTTGGTCTAGTCTAAACTTCAAGTCCACAGCAACTAGCAATCCGCGAAGCCACTCGTGTCAGGCCCCCTCATCATCCCCACCCTGCTTGCAATCCGCAAAGCCACTTACGTCAGAAAAAGAGAGAGGGGGAGAGTGAGAGATCTCGCCCACAGAGTCACTGCGCGGCGTGGCGCTGTAGTTTACTCGATTAATTGAAGGCCTGCGCAAGCCTCAAGTCCCGTCCGCTGCCACAGGCCCCACAATTCGCACAGTACTGATTTGCGCTAGGCTTAGAAATTTGCCCCAGGACAAGCTCCAAACCTGACCTGCTGACTTGTACCGTCTGGATACACCGAGCGAGCGGCACCGGCTCGATGGCGTAGGACCGTCTTGATGGCGACAAGACAGTCCGATGTGTTCAAACAGCAAGACAGTACTGTGCGCTGTGTGAACTTTGAACCGTGGAGGAAGGGAGAGGCTGGGCTTGTTTTGGTGCAAGGCGTAGAGAGCTGAAGTTAATTTTAACTTCCCGCCGTTGATCAGCTAAGCGAATGGATAAGTGAGAGCGAGCGTGGTATTGTAGTAACAGAGACCTAGGTTTCTGATAGTAATAAGAATAAGTAGACTTAGATTACCCTAGAATGGAGAACTCCAGGGGTCGTTGTGATTGGCTTTTGTATCGTATGTATGTAACCTATTTTGTAGATGTGTTACACTCACAGTGACATAATACAGAACATTTAGGAGACGGGCTAGGCCTACTTCAACCCAATGTCAGGGCCAACCTGGGCTGAGAGGGAACAACGCCCCAGCAGAAAGACGGAGGTTCTCAGTAAAAATTTCTCCCCATACGGGAATCGAACTGAGGTCTTTTGCGTGCGATGATGAAGCGCTTGGCTCGTGCACATTAAAAATAAACAGGCCTTAACATCATAAGAATAGCCGATCCAATATTAATTTTTAAGTGCATTGAATAGAGCTTTTTGTTTTTTACAACCGAACTATGAAAAAAACAACAGCCGATCTTGCACTTTTGGTGCAAGCCTCTCAACGCAAATAACCAGAGAATCTATAATATGTACTGAGCCCACTGCCACGAGAGTTCGCGACGTCACGACACAGTACAGCAGGACTGTCCACGAGTCACAACTCACCGGAAGTTCCCTCCGGTAGCAAGCGGGAGGCAAATCAAACCACAAGCCTGCTCGCAAGACTCTAGCGCAAGACTTCCGCTGCTTTACAAGCCTTCGATTAACCGAGCAGAATCCAGCCCTACCGTGTATGGGTCTGAATCAACGCACAGACCAGCTTTTATATTTTCACCAAACACTCACACATGCATACAAAACAAAATAGAACACTTTGAACTTTTATTTTTGTTGTTGTTGTGAATTTCATTCTACCTGTCACGTCTCTGGAAATTTTTCGGAAAATCAAATTCATGCCAATTTTTTAAAAATCATACAAATTAAAGTGTTAGTCTTAGACTAGACAACTTTAGTTTTTTGTATTAGATTAAGCTTGATCGTTAATTTACTGTGTCAAAAAATAATTACAATAGGGTAATTCTGAGAGTTGTGGTGATTTATTGAAATACTTCCAAAAACGCCAGTCTTCAACGCTTCAAGTGACTAGTGAAAGGGCCCAGTCGTAAGTGAGTTAAGTTGACGTTGACTTAATTTGAATTCAAATAAAATTCAAGACAAGTAGATCTAGATCTAGAAATCTAGATAGAATCTAGATCTAAAGTCTAAAGACTACTGGATCTAGATCTAGATCTAGAGTCTAGAGACTAGAGTCTCTGGACTCTGGAGGAGTCTAGTTGCAACCAATTCTCGACTTCTCATAATCTAGATCTATTAGATATAGATCTAGGTTATAAATAGGGTAGAATATTAATAGCGAATGTACAGTTTCCAACTGACCAGTAAGTAAAAGATGAAAATAACTGTGCTTTCTTTTCGATGTATGAACACACAGAGGTCTGTCACAACAAAGAGTGCATTGTTGGCTGAGCTAGTGTTGCCATTTTGTTTATCCTGGTTGCCAGTGTAGTAACGCGGTAAATATAAATTCAGGGGCTAATTAATGTAAAAACTAGACAAACAACAGGCAGGCCAGGCCCTAGCTCTTTAAAATTTTCAATAGTGAGAGTGATAATATTAATGATGATGAAAATAATATTATGGTAATAACAACTATATCAATAAAATAAAGTGATGGTAATATAATAGGCCTAAGTATTATGATCATTACAGTAGTTGAATGGTTTGTGGGTGGTTGAAGGGTGCAACTGATAGAGGTTGGCCAAGAAGGAGTGACTGTAAGGCTGCTCTTATTGGCCCACATGGGCTGGGGCTTATTGGACCACATGGGCCATTTAAGCGTTGTTTTTTCAATGTATTTCATAATGTGGTATTGTCCAAACTTGTTCTCTTTTATTTTTTCTCACTTTATCCCTTCTTATTAATGTTTTCCTGAGGCATTCCTCTCGCACACATTTCTACAGATTTGATTGTTTGTCAGCGGTGTTCCTGCAGCTCAGTGGTATTGTTATGCAGTAGACTTTGATTGTCTGCGAACAGTATTTCATTTAGAATTTAGGTTCTCCGGATGTGGGCTTGCTTCTTTCGGCAAACAACATATTACGGTATAATTGAGTT